ACTTTCTTTACTTTCTGAGGGGCCTGCGCTTCCTTTCTCTTCGTTGCTTTCCCTTTTGCGCGATCCACAGTCTCTCCACAGCACTCGTCCTCCAAAACGTCAAATGAATTTGAAGTTGCTATGGCGTTTGAAGGCGGCTTTATCAAAGTCTTCTTAAGGCCCCTGTCTTTCGCAACTCTCCAAGACGAGGTCCCTTTACTGCTGGTCTCCTCCTTCGTTACTTCTCGTTGTTTTTTAAGCTGACGCACCTCCTCCCGCAGAGAGTCCAACTCTGTCCTCAGGGCTCCCACTAGAGTCACCAGGTCCTTCACTACAAGGTCGAGGCAGCCACAATGCTGGTTCCTATCTATGCCCCATGAAGCCTCATCTGAGAGACTCTAGGACGGGTCCTAGATAGATGTATCCTCGAAGGAAGGAAAGATTGTGCAGCAGGAACATAGAGGAAACAGCTGGACGCCTATGACAGCCCCTATGAACAATGTGTGGGAGAAAGGAACGGAGACAATTAAGGCGAGCCTAGGGGAAAGTAGGAAATGCAGCTGAAAAAATCAAACCTTGTGGAGACAAGGTTCAGGACAATATGGTGAACTCGAGGGTTGGTACTCAAATATTGGAATATCTAAAAAAAAAAAAAACTGGTTCTTGAGGCTGGATGTCAAAAACGCGAAAAAACGCCGACCGGAGGGAGGGAGGGATGCCGGGGAGCCTCCGGGACTCACCCAGAAAATGGCGTTTCATTACATTCAACGCTGGTTTTCTGGGGGGAGCCCCGTCGGCTCCCCGAGCTAACTACCCACAGACAGAAAAAGAGGGACTTACCCGGGAGGCGGTCGTCGCTCACCCCTCAACTCGAAACCGAGACAACTGGCTGCAACCGCCGACCCAAAGCAACACAGGCCCGACGAGGCCCAGGGACATTCACAAGGTAACGAGCAGCCAGGACCCTGTTCGACCGCCAAAATCCCCGCGCCCGAATATCAGACCAAGACATTCCCAAAGACGGCAGCAAGAGCCGCGAACTTACGAACGTCATGGGCACGGGGATAGACCGCAGGCTGGCTGGACCTAATAACCCTGCGGACGACCCGAGAGACCCGAACCCGCGAACAGGGAAGAAGGGAAACCGGATCAACTCACAGCGCGTCCCCGGACACAGAAGCTGTGGCGCGCAAATAACGGCGAAGCGCCGCAACCGGACACAAAACATGATGCACCCCCAAAACTAACACCACACGCAAAGCACAGTGCAGTAGCGACACCGGAGCCAGAGCACACGACCATCGCCTATAGCATCAGCCTCAAGAACTGAGGCGTGGGTAGCCGGCGCGGGGGGTCTGGGGCTCCCCCTTCCCCCTCCCGGGGAGGGGGGAGCTGCGCAGACAGCGGTGCGGCAGTGTGTGACGTCACACTAGTTTGCTTGTTTTCGGTTGGGGAGTTCTATCCACTAGTTCGGTTTTTGGTAGCAATTTTAACCAGAATAGGGGTTTGTTTTGGGGCGCTTACCTTTCTGGGTGCCTGTTCCGGTCGATGGCAGACATAGAATGCTTCCAACTACACGGGGGCTTCTATAGGCCATTGCTCCCCTTGCCTCTCTGAGGGGGCCCGGTTCTGGCCGTGGTCCCCGGTAGGCCTAAGAACTCCATACACATGACTGATGCCAAAGTCTGACATTAGCATATCAGCCTGGGATAGCTCCGGGGAGCCGACGGGGCTCCCCCCCAGAAAATATGTATTTCAAAAAACTTTCTAGTAGTGTTAGCGGTGTTCAACCTTCTGTAGTGACAAATGTAGAAACAAAGGTTAAAATAAAACGGTATACAGAATTAGAAAAAAAATAAATTTGAATAATATTACCTTTGATGTTATTAGCTGTTGTGCAAGTGAGGAGAAAGCAAAAATGTTAGTGTTGGGAGAGAGTGTCAAGAAACTCTCGTATCTCATGGAATGTGATTCACAGGTCAAAGGTAGTTATATTATTAAACATGGATGAAAGTAGAGTGAGGATATTATCTTGAAACGTTAATGGGTTAAAAACTAGAGCGGTGGATGTACACTATTATACTCTTAGAGAGTACTATATTAACCTAAAATGTTAAATGGGATTCTTATATTGTGATTTGTGTATTTGTACTCGTAAATTTGTGCGCCCCTTGACGGACTTGAAGTAGGGGGGGGGGTAGAAATAGCCTAAGCTATTCTTTGAGATGTAATTTGTTTTTTTTACTTGTCACAGTAAACATACTTGAACTTGAGAGAACATTATGTATTAGAGTGTCAGCTTATTGATAACTATAGAAATAAGGAAATAAGTAGTGTACCATATCAAATTGTTTGGATGTGTGATAATGGTATGATAGACAGAATACTTAGCAGTTACAAAAATTTTGCCCCAATGAGTGTAACACTTATATGCTGTGCTTACTATATTAACCTGCAATGTTAAGTGGGATTATTGTATTGTTATTTGGTATCTGTACTCACTGAATTTGTGCGTCCCTTGAGGGACTTGAAATAGATGGGGGTAGAAGTAGCCTAAGTTACTCTATCCCTTTGAGGTGTATTTTTTTCTTGCTCAATAAATATACTTGAACTTTAACTTGAACACTCCCTAAGGAATAAAAAGCTGTCCAACCTACCCCTAAATTCAAAAGAAACACCAACAATTACCTAATTTCATCCTCGTAGTTTTCTACCTTCTGCTTCACACTCGCACTGTATCGTGTGTTACCTTAAAATATCTGTCTCAGCCATATAACTTCACCGTTGCCGTCACTGCCATCATCTTATATCATGGTTGTTATGGTGAATACAAATTTTACTACAATATACCTAGAAATAATCCTCAAAATATGCTACCATGTATACCTATCGATAATCCTCAAATTTTACTAAAATGTACCTACTAATTTTCTTCAAATTATCTTACGATGTAACTGTTAACTTTTTCAAATTTGCCACAAATTACCTACTTAAAATTATCTGTTAGATTAAGGGCCTGCCCAAAACGCTTTGCGTGTTAGTGGCTTTACAAGAATGTAAAAATCTCAATGTTATGTACTCTCATAAACCCATTACTTCTAGATGTTACCACTGCTAGACTTAGGCTCGGCTACAAGTACCTCTGGGAATTTGTAACATCTGCTGATGTAGATTTGACTAAATGTAAACTCTGTCAGCAGAACTACTCGCATACTTTGCGTCATTATATAATGGAATGTGAAAAAATCGCGGAATTTAGAGATAACACTATCAATAGTATCCAAGAAATGTGTAAGTACTTCATTCATAATGATGTGCTGCCCGAAATCTTAGCGAAGTATCCAAAATTTGCTTACTGTAGGTAATGCTGCACATGACTGTAAAGCTGCCGCCCAGTTGGGTGGGTGTGGAGCACATGACTGTAAAGCTGCCGCCCAGTTGGGTGGGTGTGGAGCACATGACTGTAAAGCTGCCGCCCAGTTGGGTGGGTGTGGAGCACATGACTGTAAAGCTGCCGCCCAGTTGGGTGGGTGTGGAGCACATGACTGTAAAGCTGCCGCCCAGTTGGGTGGGTGTGGAGCAAGACTAGTAACTGTGTAACTCACCATAGATGTAAAGTGCCTTGTATAGTGACTGTTGTGAGCCTCTTGTTGAATCACTTGTGACAAAAGATTATTGATGTGTGTATTTGTGTGGGTGATTAAATATATATATGTGTATGTATATATGTATACGTATATATGTATAAGTATATATATATATATATATGAACATGTATGTATGAGAATGTGTACATGTATATATAACATTAATAATTTTGTAACTAGCGTCAAAATTTTTTATTTGCTTAGCTAAACGAACTAGAGGGGCTCAGTTCCTGAACCGATTATGTGCCTCTGTAATCCTTTACACCCCCGCCCACGAGATGGGTATGGGGTGCATAATAAAGAAAGAAATTGAATCAATGTGTTGGTTATTGTAGATTATGTGATCTCATCGAAACCTTTAATATACTGAACAATTTGGAGGAGGTTGATCCGAACAATTTCGTCATAATGTCAGATGTAACACAAATAAGGAGCAACGGTTTCAAGCTCAACAAGCCACAATGTTGGACTGAGAACAGGAGATGCTTTTTTCACCCATAGGGTTATAACTCATGGAACCGCCTACCCGCCGAAGTCGTAAATGCCGAAACTGTGTTAAGTTTTAAAATCTACATGAAAAGGATCATCAAGACAAATTGGGGGACCTTCGACAAGCCGTCGGCTTCCTGTCCTCATCGAGGCCACTAGAGTTAGTGGCCCTCAGTTAAATCAGGTAAATAATAATAATTATTATTATTATTTGTTATAGCGCTGCATAGCCTTCCCGGCTTGGTGCCTTCTTTGATAATTACTTATTGTTATGAATAATTATTAAAATATTGCAATATATTTTCAAGAGAGTAGTTATTGTGCTGTAATGTTGAAGAGTAGTTATTGTGCTGTAATGTTTAAGAGAGTAGTTATTGTGCTGTAATGTTTAAGAGAGTAGTTATTGTGCTGTAATGTTTAAGAGAGTAGTTATTGTGCTGTAATGTTTAAGAGAGTAGTTATTGTGCTGTAATGTTGAAGATAGTAGTTATTGTGCTGTAATGTTGAAGATAGTAGTTATTGTGCTGTAATGTTTAAGAGAGTAGTTATTGTGCTGTAATGTTTAAGAGAGTAGTTATTGTGCTGTAATGTTTAAGAGAGTAGTTATTGTGCTGTAATGTTTAAGAGAGTAGTTATTGTGCTGTAATGTTTAAAAGAGTAAGGTTGAGGAGAAGGAACACTATACATTAATGAGTTGTGTTGCCGGATGCAGGTTGTGGCCACTTCCGTCCACACTTCCTCCTGCTTCTCAAACGTTACCCAACATTATTGGTCAACATGTCTCAGTAACGTGACAACTTCCACAACCCCAGAGATAATAAATTACAATGAGTAACAATGAGCGCAGTCGACATTATTCTAAGTTAGGATATATAGGAGTGAGGTAGGGAGCGTATGGGAGAGTGCGGGAGAGGAATCGGAGGAGTTGGATGTAGGAGCAGGTGAGGGAAGGTGAGGGACGGTGAGGAGGAGACGTTACACTTGCCAGACGCCGGCGCCAGACTACCATCTCCTCCACAACACCTTCAAATATCGTGAGTGGGAGCGGGTGCCAGACACAGTGCCACGGTGGGTGCTGTGCCTCCCACACCATGGGTGCTGTGCCTCCCACACCATGGGTGCTGTGCCTCCCACACCATAACAACACCATGGGTGCTGGTACACAGCCTCCCACACACCATACCAACACCATGGGTGCTGGTACACAGCCTCCCACACCATAACAACACCATGGGTGCTGGTACACAGCCTCCCACACCATAAGAACACCATGGGTGCTGGTATACAGCCTCACACACCATAAGAACACCATGGGTGCTGGTACACAGCCTCCCACACCATAAGAACACCAAGGGTGCTGGTACACAGCCTCCCACACCATAACAACACCATGGGTGCTGGTACACAGCCTCCCACACCATAAGAACACCATGGGTGCTGGTACACAGCCTCCCACACCATAACAACACCATGGGTGCTGGTACACAGCCTCCCACACCATAACAACACCATGGGTGCTGGTACACAGCCTCCCACACCATAACAACACCATGGGTGCTGGTACACAGCCTCCCACACCATAACAACACCATGGGTGCTGGTACACAGCCTCCCACACCATAACAACACCATGGGTGCTGGTACACAGCCTCCCACACCATAAGAACACCATGGGTGCTGGTACACAGCCTCCCACACCATAACAACACCATGGGTGCTGGTACACAGCCTCCCACACCATAAGAACACCATGGGTGCTGGTACACAGCCTCCCACACCATAACAACACCATGGGTGCTGGTACACAGCCTCCCACACCATAACAACACCATGGGTGCTGGTACACAGCCTCCCACACCATAACAACACCATGGGTGCTGGTACACAGCCTCCCACACCATAACACCATGGGTGCTGGTACACAGCCTCCCACACCATAACAACACCATGGGTGCTGGTACACAGCCTCCCACACCATAACAACACCATGGGTGCTGGTACACAGCCTCCCACACCATAACAACACCATGGGTGCTGGTACACAGCCTCCCACACCATAACAACACCATGGGTGCTGGTACACAGCCTCCCACACCATAACAACACCATGGGTGCTGGTACACAGCCTCCCACACCATAACAACACCATGGGTGCTGGTACACAGCCTCCCACACCATAACAACACCATGGGTGCTGGTACACAGCCTCCCACACCATAACAACACCATGGGTGCTGGTACACAGCCTCCCACACCATAACAACACCATGGGTGCTGGTACACAGCCTCCCACACCATAACAACACCATGGGTGCTGGTACACAGCCTCCCACACCATAACAACACCATGGGTGCTGGTACACAGCCTCCCACACCATAACAACACCATGGGTGCTGGTACACAGCCTCCCACACCATAACAACACCATGGGTGCTGGTACACAGCCTCCCACACCATAACAACACCATGGGTGCTGGTACACAGCCTCCCACACCATAACACCATGGGTGCTGGTACACAGCCTCCCACACCATAAGAACACCATGGGTGCTGGTACACAGCCTCCCACACCATAAGAACACCATGGGTGCTGGTACACAGCCTCCCACACCCTAACAACACCATGGGTGCTGGTACAAAACCCTCACACAAATGTTTTTGTTCAATGAAATTGCCAAAAAATGCAGCAATTTGGTTCTTTGACTTCATTTAAACCATCTATATAACCTCATGTATTAGTCTTCTACCCATCTGGGCGTTGTGGAGTGTACAGGAACCAAATGAGCTTAGGGAATGAAGCATAATAATAATGCTCATTTATAAAAATATGTACATTAGCAATATTACATTATATATTTATGTAATACAGCTGCTACTCACATACAGCATTTATTATGGGTCTCGCAGCATGAGCTGTAGTAGAAAGGTGAAAAAGTTCTTAAACTTACAATTCACATCATAATTACATTTGATTCCAATTTGTACAGCATTTCAAGCTAATATTGGTTTAGCTATGTAAGATACCTGAATTTACCCGAGGGCCGTTAACAATAGTAGCCTCAACGAGGACAGGAAACCGCTGGCTTGTCAAATGTCCCTTCCCGGCTTGGTGCCTTCTTTTGATAATTGTCAGATGTCCCCCCATTTGTCCCGATGATCTTTTCCAGTTGCATTTTAACATTTAATAGTTTTGGCATTTATGGCTTCACTGGGTAGGCAGTTTGATGGGTTTATAACCCCTGTGGTTGAAAAAGCATCTGTTCTCAGTCCTACGTTGTGGCTTGTTAAGCTGGAAACTGTTGTTCCTTGTTCGTGTTACATCTGACCTTCTGAAGAAATGGTCTAGATCAGCATCCTCGAAATGGTTCAGTATTTTAAACATTTCGAGGAGATCGGCCCTATCATGTCTGGTTTGCGGTGTTAGCCCTGTGGCTAATGCTAGCCCTCAACCATTCCTAGTATAAGAGTTAACTTTGTTTTGGAATGATTTTTGTTGCCTGGTGTTGCACTTTCTCCAATGAAGCTATGTCTTCCTGAAGATGAGGTCACCATACTTGGATACAATAATCCAAGTGGGTTCGCATCAGCAATTTACACAGGTGAATAATTACTTTCCTTAGTCAAAAGTATGCTTGATTATTCCTATGGTTTGGTTAGTTTTTTTAACTACCACTCCCATAACATAGACATCAACAGAGCATTTACAGTACATTTACCCGTAATTCATTTATTACGGGTCTCGCAACATGGGCTGTAGTAGAAGGGTGAAAAAATTCTTAAACTTGCAGTTCACATCATAGTTACATTTGATTCCAATTTGTACAACATCAAATTGCAGCCATCCTGTGGGTGGTGGTGGAAGGCCAACAGTCACACTGTTGGCTCAATTACAGTACTGGACTATGTTTAGCTAAGCAGGTCTGTGATGATGCAAAGTTTGAGGTACATCAGCAGGTACTTTGAACTCAGTGTACAATATAGCTCATGATGCATGAGGGGTTTAAGCAAGTTAACAAGGGAGTGTAGTCTATTTGCAGTATTGTAGTTAATGTTACAGTGGGTGTGAAGTACAACACTGCTTTATCTACCATCCTATTCTCAGGATTTGACAAACATCTCAATTGTCTAACCATAACATGAGAACATCCATAAGAGGCAAATCCTATTTATATCTACCAAAACTCATTCATGTACTGTATATGTCTAACCTACGCCTGCAAATCCATTGACCCCATGTCTATTATGTAACCCAATAATTTGTTTTGTAAATCAAAAACTTGCCTTCCCTGTTGATGCTGATGCACATTAAGCTATTCCAAGAAAGCATACATTTTTAGTGTTTAACCCCTCACATCTTTAGTTAAGTTTTGTCTATATTAATTTAAGTTTTGGCCGTAACACTTTGTTATAGTGGCTTCATTTGTATTTGTAACTCTTGTTCCTACAATTGCACGTTACTCATATTTTCTTTGTACACACACATTCTTTTGAATAAACATTTTCATTATCATATAATTTTCACATAAGAGGAATTAAGTGAGAGACATGCTATCTTTGATGTACAAACTTAGTATACTTTTTTAAGATCTTGTAATTACTATACCTCAGTGTAGTTATAGGATGAGAGCTACGCTCGTGGTGTCCTGTTTTCCCAGCACTCTTTGTCATGTAATGCTCTGAAACTACTGATGGTTTTTGCCTCCACCACCTCACTTGTTCCAACCATCTACCACCATTTGCAAAAGTGAAATTTCTGATCTTTTTTTTGGCAGCTTTGTTTCCTTAGTTTGAACCTGTGTCCTGTTTTTTTGAAGTTGCAGTTTTAAAAAAGAATGCTTTATCACTTTTTTCAATTCCTATTACTATTTGTAAGTAGTGATCATATCATCTTTCTGCTAGCGTCTACTAGTAGGCATCCATCGGCCATAGGAGACTATGGAGTTGTGTTCTGGTTGTCGGTCTGGAGTGGCGTATCCAGAGCGCAAAGCCAGGGTAGGTTAATATGGAGGAGAAGCTGTCACCCAAGCAGCATGTCTTCCCCCCTCTCCACGATTCTGAAAGTCTCCAATGGAAAGGCAAACGCCAATATGATTGGTTCCAACGCTGTTGCAGGAACTGCCAGAATGAGGTTGAAGGCAACAACGAACTGCCTTAGGGGCTCCAGTTCGTGTAGCTTTTGTATAGTTAATTCAGTTAACTACTCTTCGTAGCTCTTATTTTTCTGTTATAGAAGCCATTTAGTTGCACATCTTTGTACCATTTATAGTTTAGCGATGTGCTTCTAAAGATATGGGCACCATACAACTGCTTCATATTCCAACTTGGATTTCACAAGAAATGGATAATTTTTAATATTTTGCCATCCATGTACGGTATTTAAAAGCGATTCTAATAGGAAAAGCTAGTATACACTCCTTGCACAATGTTCTTTATGTGATCTTCATGTGGGTTTATCTAAAACCACCCCTAGATCTCTCTTTATCAGAATTCTTTAAAGCTTTTTCATATAATTTGTAGGTTGTGTGTGGCCTAGTTTCTCCTATTCTACGTTCCATAATGGCATTTATTCGCATTAAGTTCCATCTGCAAAGTGCTTTTCTATTCACTTATTTTGTCCAGGTCTTATTGACGGGCATTAGAATCATTTAAGTTTAAATGAACAAATGGATACTGAAATGAAATACATTTAAGTTTCTTACCTTCCCTAGTAGCTTGCATCATCAGGAGACATATTAATATAATTGTGTTCCTTCTGGAAGTTTATATAGACAATGATCATTACTGGTGCTAGAATTGAACACTTCTCCAGTCTGATAAATTGTCTCTGATCACTGCCCTTATTTTTCTGTCAGTACAGTATATTCAAATATCTACACCTCCTCTGACCTTTCAATCAGGTCAAGATCACTGAATAACTCTCATTGGGGTAGACTTGTTTTTCAGGCTACCTGGGGTCATAACAATATATATAAACAGTACATATACATACAGGGTTAAAGCATAGGTAGTTTATTTGAGGATTCATGGCATGATATATATATATATGTGTTTCCATCTTGCAGATGGTGACACCACCATCCCAGCTGTCTTTGGAGGATACTGATGTCTTTTTGAAGAAAAATGAAGGAGCTCGTGTTAGTTTCCAACATCATAACATGCCCCCTATGGTTTCAAGTGGGTATGATTTTGAAACTACAGAAATGGATACAAATGACCCATCATATAATGGTATCACAGTTCCTATTATAGTAGATACAACTGAAGCTGAAGGAACGTATATAGAAAATGAGGATTTTACACAGCTTACAGATTTAACTTCTACCTCAAAACCTCTTTCTGAAAAAAATAGTGATGAAACGGGGAAATGGGAATTATTTGCTGACTTCACTAATGATAGTTCTGTTACTACAACAGAACTATCTGAAAATCCAGAAAATTTCAGTGATTATATTGATATTATTGAATCAATAAAAAATACTAAACATTTGAAAAATACAAATATTATGGTTACTACAGAAAGTCCTACAGATATTTTAAGTGATAATGTGACCATCTATAATTCAGGAAATGTTAATACAAAAATTACTGATAACCAAAGAGAAGGAACATGGAAAGAGAGAGAGATACATCAGTCAAGCACTGACACTACTCCAAATGATGAGTATGGAGAAGTCACTAACAAACCAATATCTGTTGATGATAGCACTCACATTCTACTTAATAATAAGGAATATGATGGGTTAGTGACTTCTCTAATGTCATCTGGTGATAGTACCGACATTCTCCCAAATGACGAAGAGTTAACGACTCCTCAATCATCTGGAATTAGCCCTGACATTATTCTGAACAATGAGGAATATGAATCGGTAGTGACAACTCCAACTAGTATATCTGATGAATCTTTTCCAGATGTCAATAACACAAATTCAGATGGTCAAAATGTTTTACTTGAAGCATCTCCAGTCACAGAGGTAGTGTTAGATACTATACAGAATCTGTTTGATGATATTGGCAGCTTTGATCTTAAAATTATGACAACAAGAGAGGGACTGCAAGTAGATGCACATGATGCAGTATTTGATCCAAGTCAGATAGCTAAAGCTACAAGTTATGAAGGGTCATCATATTCAACAGCCACAAGAAGTGCAACAGTCACTACTTGGGTTGATCCAGATAATAGACACTTACCAAGCCAGCATCATGCGAACTTAACACAGTCTAACAATTTTGAGAGCTCTCAGAAATCTGAATCTGTAGCCAAGCTTGTAGAAAATACTTATACAGAGTTGCATGATAGTGACATTATATATTATCCAGCAAGACAAGATTCTGAAATAAAGTTAACCAATTTGTATCAAGATACAACAAATGATTTTCTAGCAAACAGGGATACATTGGCATCAGATGTAAAGTTAAAGGATGAAATAAAAACAGAATTTACATCATTGGCTTCAGATTATCAAGATAGTGGTTACTTGGAAAGGGAAGATGTAGTAACTTCAAATAGTGATGTATTTGATAATGACATAAATAATATTTTGGATGAAATACCCATTCTTGCATATAATATAACAGATTTTGGAAGTGGTACTCAGATACTAACAAAGAATGGTAAAAACAAGACTAAAGATTCATTAATGTATGAAATGCCATTGGCAGATAGCATTCAACTAAATCCTTCAGTTGTAATTGCATTATCAATTTGTTGTAGTATTGTTGTATTGCTTGGAATTGTATCAATTTTATTGTGGTTATGTCGCCGACACAGAAATAAAAGTAAAATTTATTTAAGCCATGAAACTGTAAAACCAAGAGCTTTTTTCACAAAGCCAATGAACCCAGCTCTGCTTCCTAGTGAGAACGTACCAGACTCGTTAAATATGCTCGATTTTCAGAAACCTAGGGCACCACTTCTGTTGAGTGATGATAAGAAAGATATCTACTTCATTGAACAGTCGTCCATTAATGGGTCTCCACAACTAGAGAATACAGCTGTTAATATTGATGATGATGATGGTTTTATTGATATACCTCTCAACAAATTTAAAACAGGAAGACAAACTAAAGTAAATGAGCAAGATCCACCAAAATACAGTTTAAAATATAAGTGTGAAAGTGATAGTGACTCTGGTATAAAGATGTGGTCATCAACAGGTTCACTGTACACATCATCATCATCATCACAGCTCAACCACTGTTCTGTGCCACCACCACCATACTTGCCGTCTTTGACTAAAGAAACATTTTGTCTTTCAGTTCATTCTCTTCTTTCACTATCCAAGAAAACAGAAGTGTTAGATGTGTAAATATGATCCATAGGCTAAAATGTATTTATATACACTATTGTCGAATCTCGTCATTGTAAATAAGTGTTTGTTAAGAAAGGTATATTTCAGGATACCAAAGTTAATGGTGAAGTACCTGCTTAGTAAAATTATATTTGAGCTAAATTCCAATTATAAATTGTTATCTTAGATTAGTTAGTTTTAAACTATGCCTAGGCCAGTGTAACAGTTAACAATGTGAATGCATACATGTGCATTACTGTTGTGAAAGAAACTATAAAAATGTCTTTACTAAATAATTAATGGCATTCAAAATGAGGAGAAAGTGTAAATATACAATTTATTCCATCTCAGAAATGTATCTGAATGTAAAACTACACTGGTTACAACTTTACAATTTTCATACTTTGGTTTCATTTCTCATTTATTGGTATTTACACTGATATAGTGTATTAAATAATCATAAGATTAGCTTACATCAGTGAAAATATTGATATATTAAAAATGTTGCTTTTAAAATTAAGTTTATAACTGACCTTTAAACATCATTGTATTCTATTAATGTTTTTGTCATTTTAGTAATGTTATAATTTTTTTTGTTTTTCTGTAGCCATTTGTGCTTTGGATAATTATATATCCATTTTATTCCAATTGAGATTATTTTTATGTAATATTTGACCATTACATATTTAAACAGAATCCTCTGTTAAGGTGTGTTAGCATTAACTCGGTGGATGACATCTTATGTATAATAGATATAGTCAGCATAACATTGTGGTTTATCATTCAACATAGGGCAATACTGTACTTTGTCTAGTGATCATTTTAGCCAAAAAATTTTTACAAGCAAAAGAACTCCATATAAAATTTGTGCCAATTCTGTGTTGCCAACACTTGCATGATTTGTTAACTGGTTGTGCCCTGTATTTACCCAAGTGTAGTTACAGGATGAGAGCTACGCTTGTGAGTCTTCCCAGCACTGTCATATAACACTCTGAAACCACTGACAGTTTTGGCCTCCTCCACCTCTCACTTGTTCGAACCATCTAGCACTCTGTGCGACAGTGAATTTTCTAATATTTTTATCAGTAGCTTTGTTTAGTTTGCTTAAATATTTGATCTCATGTTCTTTAAGTTCCAGGTCTCAAGAATTGTTCTGATCAATGTTTTCAGTTCCCCTTATTATTTTGTGCATAGTAATCATATCGTCCCTATATCTTCTGTCTTCTAGCTTTGGCATATTTAGTGCCTCTAACCTCTCCTCATAGCTCTTGTCTTTCAGTTCCAGAAGCTGTTTAGTTGCATGTCTTTGCATCTTTTTCAGTTTGTTGATGTGCTTAAGATATGGACACCACACAACTGCTGCATATTCCAACTCTGGTCTCACAAAGGTCATGAACATGTTTTTTGGTATTTTGCCATTAATGTATCTAACCCCAGCTCCCAGCCGCCTTTATTGTAACAAAACTGTGGTGTGCCGAAAATAAAATATTCCCCTAGAGTTTTTTTCTTATACAGTGGACACTTGGTTTACGAATTTAATCCGTTCCAAGAGATGGTTAGTACACCAAAAATTTGCAAACTTAAACGAATTTTCCCATAAGAAATAATGTAAATTGAATTAATCCGTTCCACACACCCAAAAGTATTAACTTAAAAATACATTTTATACAGAATACTACTCATATTTTTTACTATACCTTATCTTTATTGAGGACTTGTTGTCATACAGAAGACTGTGAAGAGGAGTAGGAGAGGTGTTAGTGTTTGGAAGGAGTGTCCCCCTTCTTTTATAACATTAGGCAGAAATTACATTTCTGGGGTACACAGTCTCCTACATTTTGCAAGCATACCACTAGGACCTGATTGTGGCTCACTGCTTGCTTGTCATATTAAGAATCTGTCTATAGACACTTGTGTTTCCCTACGTTTCAACACTTGTCTGTAGTGAGACATCACATTGTCATTAACCACTGCACTGTGCAACGCACCTTGAGGCTCTCGACGGGTGGTGCGCAACGTACCTCAGGGATCTTATAGGATAGCGTATCATTCAAAACTCCCGTGACTACACGGGAGTTCACATCAGCTTCCTCAGGGCTCTCTTAAACAGATGCCATGTTTCTGAGGCTCTCACCCGGGTGTGAGAGCCTCAGTACTGAGTGAACAACCAAGGCTGGCACACACAGCATGAGCTAACAGCATTGCTGTTCAGCTTTTGACCACAGCATCACCTAAAATTGTCCATATGAATATGTATCTGGTATTATTTAGCCATGATAGTATTACAGAAGAGCCTGACTTTGATAACAGACTGTGTACTATGTTCAGATATTACTGAATAAATGTTGTTGAAGATATTCACAGCGCTAGCACAGCACACTGACATTATTTCATCCATTTAAAATTCTTCGAACGACTTCTCATGTTCTTTTACTAAATAAACACCTAGAACAGTATTCATTTACTTGATTTAGTGACCAGGATTCTGATAATAGCAGAATTGTGGTGAGAATTAGCGATGTGAATTGATGGTGGGAGGAGTATTGTTAGGGAGGGAGGGAGAGGTGGCGTCGGCTGATGGCTGGTATGTGGCAACATGTTATTGTTTGAAATCACTATCAGCTTAGTGGTTCGCTATGGTGAACACAAATGTAGATACTTATATATAATGTGTGTATAGAGCATAATAACAGCAAAAGGCTTGTGTTGGGAGGAGCTATTTAGGTAAGGGACGGAGTGAGGCTGGCTTTTGCTGTGTGACTTGTCATTCAGTGGCCACTATGCTGTTTGGGCACCATACCAGCTTAGTTGTACAGTTATGGTGAATAAAACATGTAGATAGTTATATATAACGTGTGTGTATATAGTGTAATAACACCACAAATGGTATTAGTGGGAGAAGTAATTTTGGTGAGTTAGGTGTTGAAGGAGTGAGGGAGGGCTGGCTGGGTGTGGCAGCCCACTCTTGTTTTTTGGGCTCGCCATACCTACTTGGTGGTTTGTTATGATGAACACGTATGAAGATAGGTATATACAATGTGTGTGTATATAGTGTAATAACAGCAAAAACACTGATTGATTGATCGTAGAATATAATATACAGTTACACATATGAGCCCCATAATTTTGAGCATAGCAATGTTCCATACATTGAACTATATAAATTCCACAAATTACACACTTTTGAATAATATTACAGCATAAAACCGGAGAAGAAATGAATGGGAAACATCAAAATAATTGTTTAACATTATATTTGCGGCAACTGCCTCCCCATGGGGTGGCGGGGCCTAGTGACCGTGAGCGCTCCATCGCTCAGCACCCATAATATGCTCATCTTCCCAGCTCCATCGTGGCTAAAGTATGTCACATACATTTTTTTTTTTAGTTTCCCCGTGATCAGAGACTGCAGTTTAACAATATAAGAAGAAATTTTTTTTTGGGGGAAAGAATTTATTTTTGGCGCACCACAGGTGTGTCGTATTTTAATGCAGAGCAGTGCAATGGTTAAAATGGTTAATGCAACAGCCTGCTACAGCTCATTGCTGCTATGATCTCTTGTTTTTCCTCTATTGTCATCCTCAACTATTTTCTTGTTAAACTTTACCACTGACTTTTTTGAGACCCATGGCATGATATACAAGAACTTTTATGTTCAGAAACCATAAAAGCAGAAAAACAATTCAATTCTTTACAAAGAATTCATGTGCGGTCATCACTAGGCCGGATACACTGGTAAACTGTGCATGCCTCGCCCTGTGCCCAGCAGAACCCACATGCTCGACGACCCATACATGTACAAACTCAACAAACTTGTATTCCGAGGCAAACCTCATACACTGAATCAAGTTTTATGAGAAAATTGACTTTGTATACTAAAAAATTCGTAATCCAGGGCATTCATAAACCGAGGCTCCACTGTATTGTTAAAATGCGTTTTTTGATCACAGGAAACTAAAAAAAATTGTATCTTTAGCCTTGGTGGAACTGTGAAGTTGAGCAATTTATGTTTACCCAAGTTTACCCGAGGGCCACTAACACTAGTTGCCTAGACGAGGACAGGAAGCCAGCAGCTTGTCGAAGATCCCTCAATTTGCCTTAATACTCTTTTTTCCAGTTTGATTTTGAAATTTAAGTCTTTGCATTTATGGCTTAGGCAGGTAGACAGTTCTATGGGTTCAGAATCCTGTGAGTGCTGAGGGATGAGGCATCAGAACATGCTAAGGCTCAGCCAACTCCTTACCTTGAGGTTACCTTGAGGTGCTTCCGGGGCTTAGCGTCCCCACGGCCCGGTCGCCGACCAGGCCTCCTGGTTGCCGGACTGATCAACCAGGCTGTTGGACGCAGCTGCTCGCAGCCTGACGTATGAGTCACAGCCTGGTTGATCAGGTATCCTTTGGAGGTGCTTATCCAGTTCTCTCTTGAACACTGTGAGGGGACGGCAAGTTATGCCCCTTATGTGTAGTGGAAGCGTGTTGACACTCCTGGGGGCACAAATTGCCACAAATACATTTTTCCATAATTATTTTTGGAAATTTATAAGTTTCTTATTGGATTTTTTTCCAGTTGTCTGTAATATTCAATATTGTGTAATTTGAGGGATTTATATACTGTAGTTAAATATGTTGAACATCATTGTGCTCAAAATATGGTGCTCATATGAGAACTTAAGAAGAACATAAGAATGAAGGTAACTGCAGAAGGCCCATTGGCCCATATGAGGCAGCTCTTATCTATATCCACCCAGTCTCATTCATATATATGTTTAACATGCTTGAAACAATCAAGGTATCCTACTTCTAATATGATATTCGGTAATTGGTTCCACAAATCAATAACGCTATTACCGAATCAGTGTTTACCCAGGTCTTTCCTAAATCTAAACTTATCCAATGAGGGTTCAAAACCCTATTTAGATCCTCTTGAAGTGATAATGAGCCTTTCCTATGTTTATTTCCTTTCCTATTTTTGTATCATTGGCAACTTTGCAAATACAGTATTACTGCTCAAACCTGAAGCTAAATCATTTATATATATATATTATGAATAACAGAGGTCCCAGGACAGAGCCTTGAGGCACTCTACTTAGTACATTTTCCTACTCTGAATTAACCCCATTTATATTAACACTTTGCTTCCTTTGGTATAGCCATGCCCTAATCCAACTTAATATGGCATTCCCAATACCGTGATCCTCTATCTTTTTAATCAGTCTTTCATGTTGCACTATCAAAAGCTTTGATAAGTCAAGGTACATAACATCACAAACCTTACCACTATCAATTGCCTCAACTATGCTGGAATAAAATGATTGCAAATTTGTTAAAACATGAATGGTCGTTTGTAAATCCATGTTGTGAATCACTATTAATTTATGTTTTTCAAGATGATGACGAATGTTATTTGCAATTATAGATTCAAGTAACTTTCCCATAATAGACGTTAAGCTAGTTAACCGATAGTTTGACACAAGTGATCTATCTTCTTTCTTGAAAATTGGTACCACATTAATAACCTTCCATTCTGGCACTCTGCCTGACTCTAATGATTTATTAAATATTGTAGATAATGGCTTGCAAAGCTCCTCTTTGCATTTTTTAAGCACTCTGGCAAACACTTCATCCGGTCCTGGGGATCTGTTTGGCTTGAGTTTCACTATTTGTTTAATAATGTCCTCCCTGGTAACTGCTAAACTAGTCAACCTGTCGTCTTCCCCGCCCCACATAGACTTGTTCAGCTGAAGGTATAATGTTCCTCGTTGGTAAATACCTGTACAAAGATAAAATATTTATTAAAAATACCACTCATCTCTTTGTCATTATCAGTTATCTTACCTGTCTCGGTTTTTAATGGACCTATCCTTTCCCGGATCTTTGTTCGATATAACTGAAAAAACTTTTAAGATATGTCTTTGCTTGCCCTTCTATGTGAACTTCATAGTTTCTTTTTGGCCTACTTATCTTTTTTTTTTTTTTTTTTTTTTTTAACATTTCCAACCAATTGGACAAATATTTGTTCTAAACTGACTTCCCCATTCTTAATCCTTTTGTACCAAGCTCAATTTCTACCTATATGAAAATATATCTAGTGACAGGTATATTTTTATATTCTTAGCTGAATACAACAGATTTTTTGCTGTTCTTACACTGCATTATATGTAACTATTTACATTTTTTGTGCACCATAATGAACCACAAACAGCGTGTGTTGATAGTTTATAAACAAAGGACAAGATTCCAAGGTCAGCCTAGCACATGACCACTGTGTTGTTGGAGGTGCCACAAGTACATTTTTACATGATTATTTCAATGTCTGTTTCTTTTGTTTGCTTTTTGTAATATTATTCAATATTGATTAATTTGAGGGATTTACATAGTTAAATGTGTTGAACATCGTTATGCTCAAAATATAATGCTCGTATCTAGTGACATACATTTTATATTAATAGTTGAATACAAGAGTGTTTTTGCTGTTATTACGCTGTAATATATATACG